GGGGGGGAGCTGTGGGAGAGTCAGTCAGATATGTGTTTGTGCAGGGCCTGGTAGGCCATGGTATGGAGCTTCGGTTTTAATCTAGGCCCTGTGGAAAGCCCCTGGAGGATGTTACGCATGAGAGGGATACGTTTTCATGCTGTGTCTTAGACTGCAAGGGGACAGGGAGGCTAGTTGAGCTGGCCGTTCAGTACAGTAGCTCATGGAGGAAATAGGTGGTGGCCTGGACAAGGGTGTGGGAGGAGTACACATTCAGAATATGTGCTGTCCTTAGAGTGTCTGGATCAGTGCTTCCCAAATACAGGTCTTATAAATGTTGGTGATAGTTTTCAGTGGCCCACAATGAACAAGATGGTAAAGTTAAATCATGCTATATTTCATTTAAAAAAGAACATTCTCATTTTAGGGGTTTGATTTTTCTGGTTTATTATGAAAAATTTCACATCTGTAGGAAGTGCTAAGGGGTTACAGCGTTGATTGTATCGTTACCATTTTGTTGTATCTGGTTTACTCTGTATATCCTAGGTTTCAAACATTTCAAAGTGAATTTCAGCCACCCGTACATTCCATCCCTACTTGCTTCAGCATGCATATTTGCTTATAGGCTTGTTTGGAGGTAATGTTTACATCTGGGTGAGAGACACAGATCTTCAGTATGACCTGAGCTCCTCTGTTGAGCTGTCACTATCAGAAATCCCCTTATACTCTTCCTTTGAAAGGAAAAAGGCAGTGATTGTTTTGTTTGCATTTTAAAAATTATTGTTACCAAAATAGAAGGCTGGTATGCCTAGGTTGGTTTTAGTTCTGAATTGAACTAGTTTGTGAAATTCCAGTCTGGTAACTACTGCCCAGCAGAGTTGGTTCCTGGAATGGGTGGTGTCCATTAAGAATGTGATTGTTCAGGACTCACTGAAGGGGTGGCTTACTGTGGTGAGTAGTGCATGCAAAACCAGGGCTGGCCTGGCTGCTTCTATAGCTTTCTCACTGAAGAGCTATGTGGCCTTGGTCTGATTCTGCCCCTTCCTCAGTTTCTTAACTGTGCCACGGAGGTGATCCAGCCTTCGCTACCTGGGGGCTATTTGAGGCTCAAAATGACATTGTGGATAAGGTGCAGAAAAGCAGCAGGAACGTGCCATTAGACATACTGCAGTGTTCAACTTATTACGGTGACCTGAGTTCTGGATGGTGTATTTCAGATGGTATGTGACTTTTTTCCTTCATGCTTGCAGGCCGGCTCTAAAGGCAAAAGTTGTATGTACACACAGAGCTCTAGTTGTCACCTAGAAATAAATTTCTGACACCCAATTCACATCTGGGTTTTTCCTAGATCCTTCTTTTTTTTTAAATGTTTATTTTTGAGAGAGGGAGGGAGGGAGAGACAGAGTACAAGCAGGGGAGGGGCAGAGAGAGGGAGACACAGAATCTGAAGCAGGCTTCAGGCTCTGAGGTGTCAGCACAGAGCTGGAGGCGGGGCTTGAACCCACGAGCCGCGAGATGACGACCAGAGCCGAGGTTGGAGGTTTGACGGACTGAGCCACCCAGGCACCCCTTCCTGGATCCTTTTTATTCCTCCCTTTAAGAAGGGTCTGAATTAGTAATTTTGAACATAATTCTCCATCACTCTTCCACTTCCTTAGATATTGTTGGAGAATGGGAAGGGGCCATTACTTGAGTAAACACTACTCTGTTGACAGGTTTAAGGTTACCCGCGATCTGCATTACACCATTGTGTGTTGGTAGGTCTTCTGCTTGAAACCTGGGATGCAAATCTGGTTTTTAGGTTATTTGTTCAGTAAGTACTCCGTTCATCCTTACTGCGTACCTTCTGTGTGCGTGGCACCATGCTGCAGGCTTGGGGAAATACTCCCTGCTGGCAGGACGAGCAAACGTGGGATGTGTTCAGTTGGCACAGAGGAGAGGACAGGTGGGTTGGATCTAAAGCAGGGAAATGGGACCTGCATGCAAACTTGGGGACTTACCAGTTAAGTTTTGTTGTTGTAAACAGCAGGGAAGCTGCGCCCAGATTATTCTTGGGGTGTAGAGTTCAGAGTGAGCATACCTGGGAGTCAGTATGTGTGATTCAAGTGCCTGAGAAACGGACACAGATGGCTCCTTGTGCGCCTTTAGACTTGAGGTCATTGCATTTTTAAGATTTCCCTAAGAAGGTAAGGAATAGGGGGCTTTCTCGGTGGAAGCAGTAGCACAAAAAACGTAGGAGGGTGTGGTGTGGCGTTATGTTCAGAAACAGACAAGCAGGGTTCTGAATGCCAGACTGAGGAGTCTGCCCCACCAGTCCAGGCACAGGTAAGTGAGGCTCTGAAATCTGGGGGTGCTGGGAGTGACATGCACCTTGGGTATCCACGGTCAGGCTCTGGGGTTGAGGAGTTTGTCTGTAGAGCTCGTGTGTAAGTCAGAGCTGCTTTCAGAGGTTCCCGGATAGATTTGGGTGCAACCATTAAGGCTGCCGGTGGTTACATTCGGTGTAATTTTCTGTGTGAACCTCAGCGCCGGAGTGGTAGCTGTAAATGGGTTAGCAGCTGCCTCTGGAAATGGAACTATTTCAGTCTTTGCAAAACGAACACAAGTGAGTTTAGAAAACCCAAAAAAGTTGAAAAAGACCAGTGGTTGGATCAGATAGATTTTTGAGGGAGAGTAAATGTGCCACCTGTGTATCTGTCTGTACCTATGCTATCTCCCAATAGCATAGCTTTTTCAGCTTTCAAGCTCTTTGAAGCTCATAACCAGATTTTCCAAAATTATACATTTCCTTATTAAAAATGCTAATTCTTTCTACCGAGAGTCAATAATGTTTAGTTCCTTTGCATATTGTATCACTCTTCTGTAAGTGGGAGACATCCCTCAGCATTGCATTATACTTTTCTTCTCCCCAGTATGATGGCATGAGAGCTTTGATTTGCATCTTTAATGAGTAAAATGGATCTCCCTTGTGTATATAACTTTGCCCACATTTTAATGAGCCATTTGATCTGTGGGTTGTTTTTTTTTTTTTT